AAATCCTCGAGATTAAAAGAAAAATTTTCGACGCAAGAAACTTGATTAAAGCAAAAGTAAAAAATTGCATATTTAAGGATTTTCGTTAAACATGGGATAACTCAAATAACAAAGAGGCTAAAGGTATTTCGTTTTTTTTAACCTCAAAGTATCCCAAATTATCACTTTTGCTGAAAATCAAAGGTAAATTTTAAATCTTTTATTAATTTTTTAAGTTGATATGTTTTTTTTGCAACACTCAAAAAATTAAGAATTAAAAAATGATTTTTCGAAAAAATTTTTTTTCAATATTTGCAATTGTTTACAATGTCAATGTCAATCGTCAAAAAATAACGTTTTTATATTGAAATTTGGTTATTGTAGAACACTTTAATGTTGTTTTTTTAGTTATAGAGAATTGAAATTTTGTTTATTGCTTACTTATGAAAAATTAAGATTTTGTTTATTTTTGTTGTTTTAACAAAATGTTATATTTACCTTTTGTTAATTCGTGCTGTATTTATTAGAACGTGTTATCTTTTTTCTCATTAATGTCAAAATATGTCATGAGAAATATTTGAATATTTATGCAAGTGTTCATTTGGAGTTTCTTAAATTTTTCAATTTTTTTCTAATTTTTTACTTCGGAAATTACTGAATCTATCTCAGTTTTTCCATTTTTTTTCCAAATCGTTAAATTTCTAAGACACTTGGTAGGGAAAACATAAAAATTTTGAATATCAGGAGTTAGACTCATTCAATTACGTACTTGTTTTACAAGAAAAAGAAACAAACTTGCACAATATTATGCTAATTCACTTTGAATAATCTTTGATTTTTTTACCCTACCTTCTCTTGCCAGCCCCGTATAACAAATCGTAACACAGTTTGCATATTAGCCTCATTTCAGTAGTCATATAATTGTCTCTAGAAGAATAGGCGAGCATATATTTTTTAATTTAACAATATTTTATTACATAAAAGTTATAAAAGTAGTGCACCTTACCATAATAATTGTTGGGGAAGACGCAAACAAGTATTTTTAAAAACTATTTTCGATGATTTTATTCATTATGCTTTCAAGTTAATATTTGTTTTCACACCGTATCCAGTGTGTCCCGTTTTTCAGGTAAGCACCTCTGGAAATGTGAAAAGGCTGTGGACTTTCCGCAAGCCAATTTTTTACAAATAGTACCCTGAAGGGACGTTATATTCTACTAATCATTTTATTGATGTCACAAGAGCCTGGCCTACTACGATTTTTTAAAAGGGTCGTTTTTCCAGAAAGGCATTTTTTTTATCAAAAAGATAATATTACCAGGCTATTCAACACTCATCAAAATACCCATATACCAAATTTGAACGACAAATATCTATTGAGTGTTTTGTTATGTGGCGCCAAACTCCGAAAAATCAGAACTAAAAATTATAATAAGCAGGTCAAAGATTGCCATGAAAGTGAAAACAAGTACCAATCGGACAAAGAAAAAATACAGACGCTATAAATTTAATACTTTTAATTGCGGCCATCATAAAAATAATAATTAACGTACAGACAATGTAGATAATGAATTATAAATATTAAGTTTGTTACACAAAAAATTACAAAACAATCTAAATTAAGTGTTAGTTTTCTCGAATTGGGGTTTTATAAAACAAAAAGTTTATAAAAACAGACCAAGGAATTTGGATGACCTAATGAAATGCATAAGACAACCTTGTGCAGAGATTACTCCACAACAGTAATGTAATTATTTTTAAATTTAAGAAGAGGATTGGAAAAATGTGTTCGACTGGAAGGAGGTTTTGTGGAGAAAACTAAAATTTAATTTAGATTAACGTTTTGCAATTTGTTTGTTTAACAACTTAGTATTTATAATTCATTATATTTTTTGTGTTATTATTTTTATAATTAATTAATAATAATTAATTATTATAATTAAAAGTTTTACATTTACAGTGCCTGTATTTTTTCTTTGTCCGATTTGTATTTGTTTTCACTGTCATGGCAGTCTTTGACCTGCTTATTATAATTTTTAGTTGTCTGATTTTTCGAAGTTTGGCACCACATAACAAAACACTCAATAGATATTTGTCGTTCAAATTTGGTATATGGGTATTTTGATGGGTGTTGAATAGCCTGATGATATTATCTTTTTGATAAAAAAATGCCTGATACTACTTTCTGGAAAAACGACACTTAAAAAATCGTAGTAGGCCAGGATTTTGCTACATCAATAAAATGATTAGTAGAATATAACGTCCCTTCAGGGTACTATTTGTAAAAAAAATTGGCTTGCGGAAAGTCCACAGCCTTCTCACACTTCCAGAGGTGTTAACCTGAAAAACGGGACACATTGTATATTAAACAAAGGTCGCGTTTTTCCCTATTAACGTAATGATTATAGTACAAAAATAGGTATATTTAGAATATGTTTATGTATGAAAAAACCTTTTGAATGTTTGATTATACAGGGTGATTCATTAACAATGGGAAAATCGAAAGCTGAAGATACTACACGTGAAATGATGACCATTGGCGTAAACATGCCTTATCCGAAAGTTGATAGTTTCCGAAATACAGGGTGTTAAAAGTTATCATTTTAAATCGGATTTTTGTGATTATTCTGAAAATATCTAGGTTATGAACTTGAAAATTTGTGAAACTATATTTTTTTAAGCGACGAATAAGATGCGTGTTGCAATTTCAGCGTTGCTCATAGAGGGCGCCACTTACGACCAATTTTACCGAAAATTTAGTTAATAACTTTTTACCCTGTATGTCTAACATGAAACTTGATTCAAAACCTGAAAGAGCAATCATTTTTCCATTAATTATGTATTCTTGTTTCATTTCGGTATCTCGATCCGTTTTCGAGAAAAATCGATTTAACGTACACTTTGTTTTGATGATACGAGAAATTAAAAGCGAAACAAACCAAGTGTTTCTTCATGTTATTACAACAATTAATAATAAAACAAATAAAATACGTAATTATGATTTAAAGTAATTGTTCGAAGAATCTACCGCTGACACATACACTTTACACAACTATTTCTGAGAGTTCTTCGAGTTGGAACCATCGTATTGGGATTGCGTCTGACTTCGTTGTCAGCGATTTGTATTCTTTGCCACAACTCTTCACGCGAATTAATAGATTCTTTGTTAACTATATCTTTAATTCGAGACCAAATAGAAAAATCAAGAGGATTTCTGGGTGGCCAAGCAAAAATGTTTACATAGCCAATCCAGGGAAAAACTGAATCTAAATATGCACGCACTGGCCGAGGAAAATGCGGTGGAGCTCCGTGGTGCATGAACCACAATGTCTCTGCTTAAATAAAGTGGAACTTCTTCAAACTGTGGAAGCATTTTTGCTTGGCCACCCAGAAGTCCGGACTTCAATCCTCTTAACATTTCTATTTGGTCTCGAATGAAAGATATAGTTTACAATTAATCTATTGGTTCGCCTGAAGAGTTGGGCAAATAATACAAATCGCTGACAACGAAGTCAAATGCAATCCCAATATGTTGTTTCAACCTCGAAGATTTCTCAGAAAAGTGTATAAGTGTCAATGGTGGATTCTTCGAACACTGATTTTAAATCACTATTACGAATTTCATTTGTTTAACTGTTAATTGCTGCAATAACATGAAGAAACACTTGGTTTGTTTCGCTTTTAATTTCTCGTATTATCAAAACAAAGTGTACGTTAAATCGATTTTTCAAGTTCCTAACCTAGATATTTTCAGAATAATCGAAAAAAAAAAACGATTTAAAATTTTAACTTTCAACACCCTGTATTTCCAAAACTATCAACTTTCGGATAAGGCATGTTTGCGACAATGGTCACCATTTCACGTGTAGTATCTTCAGCTTTCGATTTTCCCATTGTTAATTAATCACCCTGTACATATAACGTGACAGTTGTGAGAATGTACTCAATTTTTTGTGCTTCAGTTACTCGTAACTTCTTTATTAAAATAAGAGGTAAGTAAATAAGTTTACTGTTTGTATTCACAGAAGAAAATACTTAATTGTTTTTTCAATTTTTCATTTATAAACAGCGGTGATAAGAAAGGCCCCCGAATGGTACCTTGAAGCATTGCTTGGGGGGTAGCTAGACCCCTAAGCTTCCCATCCATAGAGTTTAGTTAACTTCAAACCTTCATAAGTCGTTTTTTTTTAAATGGAACACCCTGTATGTTTTTCTATATTCTGATACACAATTTTATTCTCTTTCGAACGGTATCAGGGTTCCCTATAATTATCTCTTCTAGTTTTTAAGTTATCTACTATTTTTTGCGTAATCACCTAAAATCATGTAATTTCTTGCGAGGATAGCTGTGGAATTTTTAGCAAAACTTCAAAACAAACAGAAGAATCCTTCTTAGGTGGAACACCCTGCATTGTGTTTTGATTTTTACCTTATAGTCAAAAATAAAAATTTATAATTTATTTTAGGTAGATGAAGTCTCCATTCGTTCGGTACGTGGCATGGTATAATAATTAGTTAATTTAAACATTAGGAAACTAAATAGATAAATAAATATTCAAAATTGAATTTGTTTTTTTACATTTAATAATATCTATACGTGGTAGCAATATACATAGGAACGAGCCTAGAGATATTGATAGCGGGGGCGCTCCCACTAGGCATAGCCCGAGGACAAGTGTAGGTCAAAGATTCCTTGCTAAGGCTGAGGAAGTGCAATGTACAGTCCGTACGATATTTGTTGAGATCGAATTCCAAGAAAACCCCTGCGTTTCTTGGAATTAACCGCATTCAATACCCGAGTAGAATCATATTGGCGGCGTGGCGGTCACCGTAGAAGCTTGCAGTGCATACTGTGTTTTGCAGTTAAGAAGGCGTGTTTCTTAGGTTCTATTTTTGGAATTCTATCTCAACAAATATTGTACGAACTGTAAGTATGTAAGTTTAACCATGTTTTCAAGTTTTTTTTTTAATATTCTCTACAAAATACATTTGTTATCTTTGCGTGTCTACAACAACTTTTCTAATATTCCTTTCGTCTTAAATAGGTGTGTTTTGCTTAGTGCCTATTACGGCGTGTATTATATTATTTATTATTTCCTGTGTTGCTTATTAAAGTATAAAATGAGTAGGACTTCTGCGTAACCTAAAAAGAAACAGAGATTACTATCACTATTATGTTTGCGCTTCAAACTTTAACAATTAATAATTGATTAACAACCTCTAATAGCTGTTTTACATTGATAATTTATTCATAAATAAATTCAAGAAGTTCTTCATTAATTAATTCATCGATTTGTTCATAAATGGTTTGGTTTGACACTGTTTTAAACTTCGTGAATTTATTTGAAACAAAAGCAGCTACTACCAGCTTTGCAAACAAGTCATAGTAAATGAATATAAATTTAAAATAAACCTTGAATAAGTTGAGAATAGTTATTTTTTTTTTAATTAGGTAACATGAAAATAAATTGTAATCCTACTTTTCCAGTTCAACTATTACTCTTTACAAAAATGTGCTGAAGTAAATATGTAAACATACGATTTAACATCAGTATTTTTGTAGGTACTTCTGAATTTCTTAAAAATGGATGATTGTACAGGGTGTTTTAAAAGCTGACAAATATAATTTCATTTTTCAAAGTATCCTGATAAATAAATAAAAATTATGGTTGGTATAACTATTGTAATTATTATTTGTCATTATGTTTATTCATTTGGCACTTAGCGTTAAAGTGCTAACTGAAGAGTATACAGATACTGTCTTTGTATATGGGTATTCCAAGTATACCAACAAAAAGGCCCTTCGTCCTACTGAAATGAATGTAGAAAATGAAGAAGATGCTGTCATTGACAACTCTTCAATTAGTATTCGACGTGTAGCAAGTAGTCTTCATTTATCATCGAATTTTGTAGGGCGTGTATTGAACAGTGAAATGTTACATCCGTTTCCTCGACAAAATGTACAAGCGTTACATGCTGGAAGGCTCAGCGATTAGAATTTTGTCGCTGGTTACTTCAACAACATGCACAAAATGATAGATTCATTTCGCTTGTTATATGGTCTGATGAAGCATGTTTTACTATGAACGGCATAAATAATAATCATAATGAACATATATGGACGATACAAAATCCGCATGCAATTAGATCAAGACGATTTCAGTAACGTTTCAGTGTCAACGTTTGGAGTAGCACTTTCAACAACAATTTACTGCCTGTACATGTTTTAAATGCAGAAATGTATGGAACTTTCTTGGAAAACAACTTTTTTGATTTCATTGATGACGTAAGGCTTATTGTTCAAAATATGTGGTATCAGCACGATGGTACACCATCAATAGAGGGAGACAAGTAACTGCTTGGATCATTTCCGAATAAATGGATAGGTCAACAAGGTCCAATAGCAAGGCCACCGCGTTTCCTAGATCTAAATCCGTTGGACTTTTATTTATGGGGACATATGAAGCAGCTTCTCTACCATGTATTACTCGAGTATTTTTCTTCAAACCATCCTATTACTACACGGGTGGCTTGGTGGCAGTCCCGTACAATTTTTTATGTATGATAGCATGGTCTTGAGTTATAGAGTTTTATTGCTCTATGCTCATTACCATTTTATCGAGGACCACGCGCAGGCGGAAGGTATTGAGCGTCCCAGGTCTCTGGTAGGTTGCCACAGCCACGTCCCGAGCTGCCTTAGGTCACCCATCCAAGTTCCAGCCTGCGTCCGTGATGCTTACCTCGACCGATCGAAATCCATCGGCCAAGACACCCGGCTAGGCGGTCCCCGCTTGTCTACCATATTGAAATCACTACCGCGGCCGTTACTTGAAAGAATTCAGGATGCAGCTAAACAGATAAGAAATGATCCAAATCCCATCCGTCGAGTGACGGTCTTTTTAAACACAAATAATAATTATTATTATAGCAACCATGTTTATTTATCAGGCTACTTTGATTGAAATATGGCGACTTACCTGTATGAAAAATAGGAGATCCAAAATAAATATCTTCCCAGCTGTCAGCAGGCACGGTTTCTGTAGCTTGCTAATGAGGAAAACCAAGTTTCGTCTGAGTCTTGGCGGGTAGCAGGGCCAGTCTAGGTTATAGACAGCATTTTTGACGTTTTGTAACTAAAATCGTAACAGTAAGGGTTAAGACGAGTAATCAGAGATAAAAACTGTAGAATAGTATAAAAAAACNCGTAAGGCTTATTGTTCAAAATATGTGGTATCAGCACGATGGTACACCACCAATAGAGGGAGACAAGTAACTGCTTGGATCTTTTCCGAATAAATGGATAGGTCAACAAGGTCCAATAGCATGGCCACCGCGTTTCCTAGATCTAAATCCGTTGGACTTTTATTTATGGGGACATATGAAGCAGCTTCTCTACCATGTATTACTCGAGTATTTTTCTTCAAACCATCCTATTACTACACGGGTGGCTTGGTGGCAGTCTCGTACAATTTTTTATGTATGATAGCATGGTCTTGAGTTATAGAGTTTTATTGCTCTATTCTCATTACCATTTTATCGTGGACCACGCGCAAGCGGAAGGTATTGAGCGACCCAGGTCTCTGGTAGGTTGCCACAGCCACGTTCCGAGCTGCCTTAGGTCACCCATCCAAGTTCCAGCCTGCGTCCGTGATGCTTACCTCGACCGATCGAAATCCATCGGCCAAGACACCCAGCTAGGCGGTCCCCGCTTGTCTACCATATTGAAATCACTACCGCGGCCGTTACTTGAAAGAATTCAGGATGCAGCTAAACAGATAAGAAATGATCCAAATCCCATCCGTCGAGTGACGGTCTTTTTAAACACAAATAATAATAATTATTATAGCAACCATGTTTATTTATCAGGCTACTTTGATTGAAATATGGCGACTTACCTGTATGAAAAATAGGAGATCCAAAGTAAATATCTTCCCAGCTGTCAGCAGGCACGGTTTCTGTAGCTTGCTAATGAGGAAAACCAAGTTTCGTCTGAGTCTTGGCGGGTAGCAGGGCCAGTCTAGGTTATAGACAGCATTTTTGACGTTTTGTAACTAAAATCGTAACAGTAAGGGTTAAGACGAGTAATCAGAGATAAAAACTGTAGAATAGTATAAAAAAACAACTTATTTACTTATACAACTAGCTATGTCTAAGGCAGCTGGATGTGACGTCATAATATTTGAAGTCTAAATAGTTCTAACCTCACTTTAAGTAATAGTACTCCTTACTTTTAATGATAGGGTTTGGCTGCAATAGGTGAAGACGAATATTTCCCCCAGTGTGGCTGATAAATATATGAAGCTACATATAAGCTCCCCAACATTGTCGACGAGGGGTATAATATAACACAACGAACATAGTATAAAGACTGAGGCGCCGTATTGTATCAACAGTTGGACGTTGTAAAGGTCTTCCAGGAGATAAAGTACCCTAAAACCGTTAAAAACATTTGTATACCTACATATTTTTAATGAATTTGGTTTATTTTGGAACGTTTTTACCTGTAGATATTTTGGAGTTCGGTAATACACTTGACGATTCTGATTTCATGGAGCATCAAAACCTCATCTAGGCTCTGACTGTAATCTATATTACTTCCCAGTTGATTAAAAGCTTCACCCACTAATGTAGTCTGACTTATGACGTGGATTATAGAATTGATAACAATTGTATCTACAGCTAAAAAGTTGTTAGGTCAGCCACGCAATGAATATTCCCAACAAAATATTATGATTCTAAAATAGTATACAGGGTGGTCAAATGAAAACGAAACAGAGCCATTTTCAGGAACTGGGTCAAGATTGTAGAACGCTCAGACCCGTAGATTTTAGATTAAAGGGGGACATTCTTTGCTGGTATTTTTGACTCCGCCACTTTCACCCCCAAGCAAGGGTAAGCATCACCCCAAAATATTTAAATGGCATTAAGGCTTGAGTAATATTTCTTTTGAAAGCTCCTACAATTTTCTTTACAACAGACTTTAAATTTTATAATTCCGCCCAATACTTTGAAAAAAATTTACATTTTAAAATTTAAATTATCTTTACTTGCTTACTTACTACTTAGTTGATTAAATGTTCAAACTGATGACCGCCTGTTTCCATACAAGAATAAAGATTTTGTTGGAAACGTTCGCGCACATTCCGAAGCATTTCCGGAGTGATTCGACGGCATTCGTCGACGATTCTTCGACGCAAATCTTCCAGCGACGCTGGATGTGTTTTATAGATTTTACTTTTTAGGTGTCCCCACAAAAAGAAATCAAGGGGCTATAAATCCGGTGATCGTGGAGGCCACTCAATGCTGCCTCTTCTCCCAATCCAATTCCGTAGAAAACGTTGGTCCAAATACTGACGGACAATTAACGCATAATGCGGAGGAGCGCCGTCCTGTTGAAAAATCAAATGATCTTCATCATACTCTGGAACATTTTCAATAATATCAGTCAAGGCAGGGTCAATAGCGTCTTCCAGTAATTGCAAATACATTTGGCCAGTCAAATTACCAGGTAGAAGAAAAGGACCCACCAGCCGGTCACCGAAAATTCCAGCCCATACATTTCATTTTTCCGGTTGCTGTGTATGCACCTTGTGAAAAACTCTTGGGTTTGAATCGGACCAATAGCGGCAATTGTGACGATTTACCGTCCCGTTAAAAAAAAACTGCTCCCTCACTCATTATTTCGCAAAATTACAAATGACGGTCATAATCATCCCCATGAAGTTCCTGGACTAAATGTATGTATTTTGTGTGGATGGAATTTATTCTTCTTCAAAATAGTTTGTATGCTAGTTCGATTGATCCCAGACACAGATGCCCAGCTGCCTCGTACTTAATGTAGGATCAAGATGAACTTGTCTCAAAACTGCAACTTCACTAGCTTCATTAACTATAGGTTTTTTCAATCTCTCGTTTTTTATTGGCTACGTTCCCTCTGTCTCTTGATTTTTTTTACTAACTCTAGAACATACTTCCTCCTGAAAATATGTCGATCTTGATGTTCTTCATTAAATACGTGAGCTGTTCTATTCGCACATTTATTGTTCATAAAGTAAAGCTAAATGATATCTACCCTTTCCGCAATTTAATAAACCATAGTGTTCAATTTTCAAAAACATAGTTAAATAAACTACCAACCAACGCTTCCAAATAATACTAGAAAATAATTTGGAATCCGCTAATTTTACGTTCATTGCGTGTGTGCATTCATTTCTGTTTTTTACAATTGTGTTTTTTTACGAAAGTGATAACAAATCGCCAAAAACCAATGTAACGTAAGAAATACTAAATTTATACCATTGGCGTACTTAACTCGAATGACTGACATTTTTACTGTTACTAATAATAATTGTTTGTACTAGTGCTGGCAAAAACCGGAAAAAAGTGAAACCGGTTAACCGGGTTCCGTAAAAACCGATTTCAGATAAAACCGGTTAGTCGAATAGTTGCTAAAACCGGTTATTCGAATAACCCGTTACTTGAATCGCCAAAACCGGATATCTGAAAATCGGTGTGTTACAAAGACAGACCCTGAGAAATTGTCTAAAAAAAAGGTGTTTACAAAAATCTGGAAGTCAAATTTGTTTACGAAGAAATCGATCTCCAAAAAAAAGGTCAATTGCAATCGGACAAATCGATGTCTAAAAAAAAAGGAAGTAGATCATCGAAAAATCGGTTATTTGAAGATTCGAATAACCGAATAACCGGTTTTCGGATATTTGAAAAATTGAATAACCGAATAACCGGTTTTCGGATTTCATAGAAATCCGAATTATCCGAAACCGGTTAACCGACTATCCAAAAAACCGGTTTCAGTTGCCAGCACTAGTTTGTACATAGGTTTCAACTTTAAAATCAAAATTCTTAATAAGTATTGGACGGAATTATAAAATTTAAAGTATTTTGTAAAGAGAATTGTAAGAGCTTTCGTAAAGTTAAAAAAAAAATCAGAAAATCGAATATTTAGCTTTTTTTCAAATTGTTTATTAACGATTTTTTTTGCATAAAATTTTCCTCTCAAATTTTTTAAATAAGCTATTTTTCATGGGAAATTCAATTCTCTAAATAATTTTTCCTATGAACTATACCGAAATTTTGCTTCGTTTTCGAGCTACAATTAAAAAACTGAAAGAGGTGTATTTTCACCCCTACCTCCAATTTCTACCCTCTAAAATAGCACTCCACGGTTTTTTCATCTAAATTGACCATTTGAAATATTCATGTAATAAAATGTCTTGAAGGTCATAAATAGTTCCTTTTATCCTCTATTCAATAACCTATAATAAGCTCCGTTCGGTTTGCATCCTCGAAGTTTCCGCCGTGTCTGAATTAGCCCATAATGCAATATTATCTTCAACGGTGAAACTACATTTACAATAAAAATTTTATGTTTCATAGGTCTTTTTTTAGTATTTTCTGATTTTCAAATAAAAATAATAAGAGTAATAACATTTTATTATTCAAAATTATTTATTACTGTTTACTACAAAACTATCTACTCAACGGTGATATTAAACCCTGATTTAGTAACAGTTACATAACTATAATAACGATAATAAAAGTACAAAAGGAAAATTAAATAAAAATAGTAATTTTCTCATGGCACAATTTTATACATTTATTTTGCAGTAGGAATTTTTGAGCAAGTAATGAATTATTGAAATGGATTTTACTAGAAAAAGGCCCATGCTATTAAAATCTAACAAGAGTACCTTTTTTTATGGAAAATATGATAAATTTTAATATTTTCGGCTCAGGAAGTAGAAAAAATTGCGTGCAAAAAATAATTGTAAAATGATGATCCCGCATTTTCTTAGGCCCCTGTAGCAAATTTTGATTTGTATATTATACCGATTATTAAACATATAAATAGTAATACAACCCCAAAATTTTGTGATTTAATATTAAACCGTTTTGAAGTTATGAAATAAAAACTATTTCCTGAGTTACCCCTTCAAGGGGCTGTATCTCCCTTAGGGGCCGCCACGGACAAAAACTCTACTAAGGTTTTCATCATATTTCGACATGTTTTACTTACTCTCCAATTTTGAGTACTTACTTCGTTAACACCTTGTATAAATATACCGATGTTTCCAATATTTAAATAAACAATTCTCTGACAAACTGTTTTCTATAAATAGTAAAGTGACATTTCATGTGGAAAAGTGCCTGTTTAGTAAACGATTTATCAGTCAAAATATGAAAAAAAAATTGTTACTGTACTTACGTAGGAATGTAATTATAATGCCACAGTAGGCGTAGAGCTGATAAAAATACCCAACCCAGTAATAACCGTGCGACAGCGAAGTGTCAAAAGGAAAATACATATGATAGGGATACACCCTGTAAGTGGAGGTTGTGTTATATCTTTCATTAAAGCCTTCATACGTCTCCGTGCTCAGTACGTTGATATATGACACGTTTATGGTGAATAAGGAGATGAAATTTATACTTAGGTAAATGAGGCAACATATTGCCCTAGTGTGAACCATTTTCTCTCTGCGAAATCGTTCTATAACATTCCTGAAACACAAAAAATTAATGAGAGCGCAGCTACGTATAGGGTGCACCACAAGGTACCGCACTGGGGCCGGGACTATACCCGGTACGTATAAATGAATATTTCTTACTTGTCGTGGTTGATAAATATCGTCGCCCTGCTCCATAGCTTCTTTAAATCGTCATATTTCAAATCTTTGATCTTCCTAGCTTTATTCAAAAGATGATCGTACTTAATTTTATATATACTGAAACAATTGAACTCAAAACTGTCCCTTTGTACAACCCTCGCCACTCCAGCCAGTTTTTCTCTGGTGAAAAACCAAACGATTATCCTGAAAATGAACACGGAATGGAGCGTACAAACACTGAGGGTCAGCATGGACACTTTGAAGTCTTTGTCGAAGTCGCGGAAGAGTTTCGACCATTCCAGTCCCGTCACCAGGAAGGCGGACATGGAAATGTGTGGAACGGCGACTAGGAGGTACAGCAACTTTCCCTTTTTATCCTTCGGTGGTTGCAGACCGAGGATTTTGAAGAAAAAGTCCATCCAAGTGTAGAAATTTTGCGGCGCAAATTTTGACAAGTTTTGCCACATCGTCTAGGTTCCAGTCTAGTAACTGACTGCTGTTTAGAAGTATACCTCTGATTTTGTTAATACACTAAGCTATAATTGTGAAAAATAGTGCCAGAGGTAATTGTAGTTATGCCCGGTTTGCTTTGATGGCCTATTAAAAATTTATTTTAGAATTATCGATTGGACATGTTTCGTAAATCTTTTTATTTTAACAGGGTATATTAAAATCATGTTGGCATTTATTGAAATGAACGTATTTTAGACCACATTACTCCAGTCATATTAGATTAGATCATAGAACCTGAAAACTTGAAAAAATTATTAGTAGACATATTATTGCACTTTATTACGGGGAATGGTATGTAGAATGATATTTTAGAATCTAGAATGATAGAAATAAAGTAAAATGATAAATATCTAGACGACCTATCGGAATATTAATTATTTTGTGTTGTAGGTAATTAAATTACCTACAATTTAAGGTACCTGGAGTAATTTTTCACTAATTTGTTAACTGTAAAATAAAGGTCAAACGCGGAAATATCAATTTTCGAAAATTGCACATTATTATTGCAAAAAGCCATAGATGTTGATGAAATTTATGAAAAAGACGGTCAATCCAATGACTAACACGTGTGCCAAACGCCGATTCAATTGACCGTGAAATTATTGCACCAGCTATTTGTTAATTAATTTCGTTTATTTTTTGCAACTAATTGTTTAATTACTAAACGTTATTATTTTAGAAGTTAATATCGTCAATATAGGTTCCAATTGATAGAAAGAAAAATTTCAAAAAGTTGAAATTAAGTAGCTCTTTACAACTAACAAAGTGGGATGTCAAAACAACGTTATAAACAAATTGCCCCAGGGTCAAGCAAAAGCTGCTCGGGAATTCGCTCTTTTGCAAAAGCTTATTTTTACAGTAATTTGAAAAAAGAGAAATCACCTACGCCTCTTTGTTGCCAAGGTAACTTGTTTTTTTTATGTTAATTAATTATTAGAGGTATCGGAGCGGGATTTTAGAGACAATTAAAGAAAGGTTAAACTTTTATTTCCAAAAAGTTTTACATTGATAGTTCATGTAATATAAGTCTGATAAGTTTAGAATACAGGGTACTTCAAGGTCCGGTCCTTGGACCTTTGTTGTTTATTATTTTCATAAATAACATATCTAATGTTGTTAATCCAGAAAATTTGACACTATTTGCCGATGGTACATCATACAAATGAAGCTATTATGCAAAGTCAAAGTATCTTGAATTAGTTTAATAGTAATAAGTTATTTGTGAATGTTTCTAAAACCGAATTTATTATATTTAAAATAAAATCATCGGAAACAATTGAAGGTCAATTATTAAGTGAATGGTACCTCCATACGACAAACTGATACAATAAAATTTTTAGGCGTATAAAATAAATACTTATCATTCATGTAGAAATATATTTAAAAATTTTAAATTACTTGCCATACCATGTATTTATATACAGGAAGATGTACATACTTCAGTATGTTATTCTACGTTCAATTTTAAGAAAAAAATTTCCTATGAACTTAGGTCTGGAAACGCTTCGTTTAGGCTATACAGGATGTCAAATTTAAAAAAAATTATTACATTTTCTTTAATAACTCTCGACTACTTTGAGTTAAATTCATGAAATTTTGTATGCGGAGGTTTCTTGGGACGAGAAATTCAAGTTTTATGGACGATTGGGAAAGCCGTAATAAAATAACATAGCATACTCACTATGCGTAAAGATGTGTGGCATTTTTAAAACTTGCATACAAACATAGATTTGCAAAACAAAAACTGTTCATTTTATGTCACTTTTAATTAAATGTCAACTATCTGATAGGAGCCTGCTTAATAATATTATTATTAACAATTCCTGATTACGGAAATAAATAAAAGTAAAATTTTCAAGTAGGCTCCCATCAGACATAAAATGAACAGTTTTTATTTTGCAAATTTATGTTTGTATTTAAATTTTAAAAATGCATCTTTACGCATAACGAGAATGCTGATATGTTATTTTGTTACGGCTTTTCCAATAGAAATCCGCGGGCTACTCGTAGATAATATCGGAGACGATTTTCTAATAGAACGGTTCCAGATGTAAGGGTGTTTTCTAACACATTTACCAAATTACGCGAATTCGGTTTTCTTCCAAGTAGTCATTATCATTCTGAACGAGCAGATAACCGAAATGCTAATAAAAGAAAATGTATATTACGCAAACAAGACTTGTATCCTTTCCACATTTAAAACGTACAACCAAGAGATCATGCCAGAGGATTGGAATTTTGTGAATAGATCAACGCTAATCGTCAACTAGTTACTAGTTCCAGTGATGCTTTTTACTGACGAAGCTGATACATAATTAGCACTCTAATACATAATTTACATTCATCATCATCTTTAGATGAGTTTTTAACGGAAACGGCTGCTCCTAGAGACTTCAATAAGGTGTACATTTCTTAAGTAGGGAAAATGTTTTCTAATCCGAACGACTTACACCGTGGCACAAAAAAGTTAAAGCGATTTAAAAAAATCCTAATAGTTGCTTGTGCATCTCTGCGAGATACAGCCAATCGTCCATAAAATTTGAATTTCCCGTCCCAAGAAACCTCCGCATACAAAATTTCATGAATTTAACTCAAAGTAGTCGAGAGTTATTTGACATCTTGTATATTCTAAACGAAGCGTTTCCAGACCTAAGTTCATAGGAAATTTTTTGCTTAAATATGAACGTAGAATAACATACTGAAGTATGTACATCTCCTGAAACACCCTGTATATATGAAATTCTTATATTTGTTGAACACAATTTTTCATTATTTGCAAATAAGAATTTTATCATAAATAAAACACGAGAAATTGTGATGCATTGGTCATTCCTCAACATAATTTGTCTTTTTATAAATTATGCCCAATTTATAATGGCATTAAATTTTATAATAAACTTCCTGTCTATATAAAGAATTTGGTTTTGATTGAATTTTTACGGAAACATTCATTTTATAGAGTAGATGAATATTTAAGATTTTAAAATATTATGTGATTTGTAAATGTAATTATAAATGTTTTTAGATCTGTTTTATTATTATATTAATAATTATTATTATTATTAATAAACGCGCTAGCAGCTGCAAAGTTAACGTTAATGAACGAAAAGGTAGACCTATTTTTGTTGTAACAAAAGTAGTTAAAGCAAATGAAACAATATACCTGCTGACATACATATTTATTAGTAGTGCAGAATTAAATATTTTTGAATATTATGTGCTTTTACTAAGCTGTGATAGATTTTTATATATATTTTTTTCATTTGTATTTAAGTACTACTTATTTTTGTTTGCTTGACGACTAATCAATGTGTAGAACGAGTAAGTCATCTTCAGCAGCTAAAAAAGAAATGGTGTCTCATGAAATCCTTAAAAAAATTATACTTACATGTATGTAGAATGATACGTCGATAGCTTTCCATTTTCCCAAAGTGATCACTGTTGGGTTTTGTAGTCTGACCATTATTATAACCAAAAATTTTCTCAAGTCAGGCGGGTAATCAGCCCAATCCAACTCGTAAATTTTTTCCAAAATTTTAGAAAACTGAAAAAGTTAAGCTATGTTAGGAATGCCACACGGTTCCCATTTGGAGGCTGTTTTCAAACAAGATCTCATAAACGACGCCAAGAAATTAATACATTTGACTTAGACAGTTACCTCCACAGTTAAATTTTGACATATCCAACACTGGACGAACGATTCCAATAAAATAACTGCTGTCGCTGTTGATATCGAAAATATTTCGATTGGGACTGTAAGCTTGTAAAAGACATGACATGAAAAATATTATTATATAGTATTAGCAAAGACTTACCGTTGAAAGAACATGAAGCAACGTACAAGAAAAGAAGGCTGCTAGTCCGTTTTGGACCAACAGGTCTATATTGCAGAGTTCTTCCATCAATCTAGTAGCCCTAGATATACAAAATAATGAATAGCGTTCTTGTACAGTCTAGTAAAATACAACCTAAGTATTGCATCGAGCTCTTCTACGCATTTTGTCAGTCTTATCTTTTTTATTAAAGATATTTTTTTAGCACCGACTCGAGGTACGTTTCTATCAATCTCCTTCAAAGCGAACGACACCACGGTGAGCTGGTTCTGCAGCTGAATGATGCTACTGAGTACCGACCAATCCACAACTAAAATAACGAATTTATTTTCTCTGTTTCAGTTGCACTGCCGCTCCATACTCACACCAGAGGCTCGCCATCAAGCTGAAATAAGCGTATGGTTGGTAGAGGAAGGCAACCAGGTAGTATCCGTCCGAGAGCGAGACGTTGAAAGGAAACCACATGGGGTAGGGGAAGTCCCTGTACACGGAGATCTTGCCAGCGTGCGGATTGAACTTCTCATACGTCGCGTTGAACAAGTTGTAGATGTAAGTGACGAAGATGTTCGCGAAAAGGAAAAAGAAAGCAATCCAGAAGAAGCCGCAGCATATGAAGTTGGTACGTCGTTGACGAGCGTCCTTGAAAGTCTCTATGGGTGTTCTGAAATGTAAGTATTTGTTTAATTCTGCAACTGTTGTTTGAATTTCAGGATTTGTCAATTTGATTTCAGAAAACGTGATTATTTGTGGTGTAGAAAAGTACGTTATAGGATAAATGTAAGGGGGAAACCACATCATTGGGTTAAAAAAAATCGAATTTTTTATTACATAAATTGTTAGTATAACTATTCAAGGATAGTCTGCCAAAATTTCAAAACGAAATTTCTATGCGTTCCGATTTTATGAGCCTAAAACCGAAGAAAAGAGCAATATGCAAGGTCAGAACGATTTGAAATTTAAAAAAATGATAGATTTCATTGTATTATTATGAAATCTACCATGAAAAAAATCAGTGCGATTGTGGAAGATCCTCGGGATCGTCCAGACTAATAATTAGTTAATCTTTTCATAAGGCCATAACTTGTAAACTATTCAACTTACCGATTCCAGATTTCGTGCGAGTTATTCGACAGTGATAAGGAATGAGAGGATCCGATGCCTAAACGTTCTGGTAATAATAACGCAGTTTATAAATGTTTAATTCAAAAGTCATAATAAACTTCTTCTGTTTCTGCGAAAAACGTGAATTTACGTAAAAATTATACAATTAATCACCCTGTAAACAATCTTTCCCCCATTTTTATGACTGTGGAAACTAATATGTTATTGTGCATAATATTTAGCATCTACAGTGATAAATTCAGCTTGCCGAAACAAAAAGTCGCGAAAGTCCCAGCTTATTTTCCTGGCCTAGAAAAGTACTCTATATTATTTATAACTCAACTTTTTAGTTTTTGGAAATCCTCTAAGGCGTTTTTCTCGAAACGACATTTTTTGATTCACGGGAACTAGCTCAAAAAGTTATGAACCGATCGTTAGGAAAATTGAAAGTGTTCCTCCTTATGAAATTAGAAAGAACATGAACCAACAATTGGAATATCATAATTTTGAGGGTGTTTTTTATTCCAAATAAGTGAAAAAAAATGATGAAATTCGTTATATTTTTTCAAACACGTGTCAAAACTTCAATTTTCAGAATATTTACCCGCAAGGAGGTTCATATTCTTAGAAAACATGTTAAAAATGCAGGAAAATAACCATTTTGCTTTCAGATCAAAATTGCGACCTCCACATTTCCCGTGAACAACCAGTTCGGACGACGACCTTCGGTGGACAACAGGTCATTCAGTAGATTTTCAAAAACGGTCCTATTTTGTATACACAAAGTATTGCTCATGATTAGGCGATCCTAAAAATTTCAACTCGATCCGTCGAGCGGTTTTCAAACTATATGATTTTTAAAATGCGAATATTTCTCAGCCGTGACAATGCAATGACGTCACCGCATGGGTCGATCAGCCGGTTTGGCGTTACTTCCAGATGAGTTTCTGCATCTACAGATTGTTTTAGAGCGTTTGTGCATATTAAATTTAAAAAATGCAAGCAAATTTCTTAAAAGCAGATTCTTCTAATTTGCCAGAAGCACCATAACTTTATCAGTGCTGAGATGACAGAAGTGAAAATACAAAGGTTACGTTTCAATAACGTGTAAAGCTTCTTTAAAGTACGCTTGTAGCGAAAGTTTTTATGTTTTTGTATAATAAGAATAGTAAATAAGAATAAGGATTTTGCGTTTTTAATTAAACGTAAGATTTACCTAATCAAATACAAAATTCTTATTATTATTTTTATTCCCATGGAAACTACAAAAATCAACAATGGAAAACAAAAGTGTATAGTGTTTCTAGAGGATACAAACGTATTTATTACACACCTAAATTACGCAGGGTAGTTTTGTTGCTTTCAAAATAAGTCATTTTTCAAATAAAAGATATTAAAAAAGAATAAATCAATGTAGAGACTATTGATTTTAGATCTGCACGACAGAATTACGGGGAGATTATTTTCTTACGCTCTCACACTGGGGAACAGTACAATATTTGTAATTTTTTTCTGTTCTGTGTCTTCCATATTGCTAACAAAATTCGGTATTTTAACGTAACGTACTCAATCAAAATTTAACAGGCAACTAAAAACCCGACTACCCGACTGACTGACAACACATACAACCATGCGGCATCGGTTTCCCATGCGGTGACGTCATACCCGCCGGTTCAGCGGATACTCAGTGCCAGTATATGATTTTTTTTTGGGATGACTTTTAGGTAATATAAATTCTAATTTTTTGCAGAGAATCTTAAAATTGCAATATATTTCCATTAAGCAAAAAAAAATTGCTGAATGAGCCCTTTTCGGCATTTTCAACATAAATGACTTGAAAAAATTTGTAATTCAAAATACCTATTGATAAAATAATGTCAAAGTTTGATCAAATTCTAGTCAATCTGTCACACTCAATAAAAAATCATGAGGAACGCCTGAAAATCATCCTTCTAATGTGGTTTTCCCCCTTAAAATCGCACCGTCACAAAAATATATTAATTCAATAATAGAAAACACAAGAAACGTTTATTAACGTCAATGATTAAATATCGTACCAGCTACGTGTAACAAAATTTTCAAATTAAATAACAAACTATACTCAGCGGTAGAAATTATAGAGAGTGATTCATCGCTAACTTTTGGACTAGTAAGGGGGATGAAGCGTGCCGAGAACGAAAATCCATTGGCGTGTCTGCGTAAAAGGCAACAAGATATATAAAATATTGAAAAAAGATAATAAAACATAACATCTAATATTTTTTACGGTTTGCTATAACCGGCACTTTGATCCATTTTAATTATTACAGCATTTTAAAACGTCCCAGTTGTGTTTTTTTAATTTATAAATTTATTATAGCCATGGAATTAGACACCTCGTCTACGCTTATGCTATGACGTTTCTCAGCACGAGTAAATCAGGTCCATTTACACCCACTAAAAAAGCAATTCCCTATTCAAGTGCAAAAGACATAGATAAAATATAGATCGAGTTCAGTGTAACTCAGTCTATAGACAATTATAGATTCTATCGATGTGCGTAGAGAGCGCCACAAAGATAGTTAATATTGAACCGTATAAAAATCATTTTATATTTTGTACGCATTATGGTAATAGTGTTTTTATATTATGTCTGAGTCACTCTCTATAATTTCTACCGCGGAGTATAGTAGGATGTTGAACTTTGAAGGCATCACTAAGAAGAGCGCCAGAAGAAAGGGCCCTAGCCGGCGGGGCCCAGCCAGGACAAAAGGAGGTCCCACAAAGCGCCTACACCGGCCGCATTTGCGGTCGGGGTAGACGACGGATGGGGCCCACCTACGAAGGCTGTCCAGGCCTACACGAGATGAGGCAGGATAAAGAGGGATAATCCCCCTCGATCCCAAATCATTGAGGCCAATTTCTAGCCATAGAATAATGGCGCGCGCGCGGCGAAGGCATCACGAGTGTTATAGGATAGTAATGCCTTCAGTCGATCTCGGCTCATTATTTATATACAAGGTATATCATAATTAATAGCGCAAATTTAAACAGTTAGAAGTACATGATCTTACCAGAAGCAAAAAACCATCGTTTTCGAGATATAGGGTTTCAAAAAAAATGTTTTTTTCAGATTTTTGATGATATTCCGGGAACCATTTCAGGTATAGAACTCAAATTTTGTACACGTAGTATCATTAACATTAGTTACTTTTGGGCGCTAATTTAATTTTTATTCATATGACAGTGGCGGAGATTTTAGGATTGCGTGAGGTTCTTTTGCCCCTAATTTTTACGACTCTGGAAAAATTGGCATTTTGAAAGCCTATTTTAAACCGTTAATGTAATTATATTATGGAAAAGATGTAACATTTTTTAATATAACAAGAAAAAAACTGATTGAAACTTCTAATTTTCTCTGTATGTGACACTATTGACTTATTCCCACCCTCATGTAAAATGTAATAAAAAAAATCGTCAAAATTGTTACCTATTATTACCTTATCAAGTAATTTAGTTTTGATCTGACCTTTCGCTGGGTAATTTGTAAATAGTGATATTAATGCGCTAAATCGATGCTTCAAATTGTACTTATTATGTCAATGAGATAATCGTGATTGTTTTTACTAATGATTGAGTACCTACTGAAATCTGTACCTGAATTATTAAAAACTTGAACTCGATATTCTCGGAACTGTAAATCATATTAAGCTGGCCATATTCCTGGCCGAGAAATAGTGAAATTTCTGGCGTTTTTAGGTACTGAAATCTTTAAAAGTAAAACGTGTAGAACAAAAGTAAGCACAAAAATAAAATCATTGATGTTTTGTTTATTCATTGTTACCATTTAAATTTACTCAAATAAACTAATAACTAAAAAAAAGCGTTTGTAAAACATGCGTTTGCTGTTATCCTAACCCCACATTTTAAGAATTATTTTCACGTACTTATAAATAAAAGTAAACAATTTTATATGTAGGACTAAGCAAGTAAATGTTATAAGAATATTTACATGTGGAATTATATATAAAAAAGTTAGTATTTTCGTAGATTTCAGTACCTAAAACCTTGATGGTTTGATC